AGTTTGTATGTTCTCATTTGGATGTACAAATTGCATGTATTGTAAGTTCTTGTATGTGACTGCTGTGTGGACATTAGAGTGTAAGCTCCTCTGTACAGAGACTGATGTGACTGTGGGGGAGGGGACATTAGAGTGTCAGCTCCTCTGTACAGAGACTGATGTGACTGTGGGAACCAGAGAACGAGGAATCTCTCCAGCGAACCCGGCAGCATCCCCTGAAAACAAGACTCCTGGGAATCTCCCGGGCAATTACCTCCTCGCTATTAACTCCTGCGCTGCAGCAGGGGAAGCGAAGAGTCCTGATAGGCCGGGAGGAATTCTTGGAAGTTTCTGTAGAATTCAATCAGGAAAAGTAACATTGGGAGAGAGACTCGTTCAGCCGAGACTAGAGGAGGGGGCGCTGTGCCCGGCTGTCATCACCGGGGGGTGCAGGAGGGGCGACTGTGACCGATGAGGGTAGGGCAGCCAAAGGATAGACAACAAGGGCCATGGGAACTGCGGTCCGGGAGTCTCCCGCAATATCTCCCTCTGGAACCCCATAGTAAATCCCAACAATAACTCCAGAATCTCACACTCCAGTACCATAGAGTGAATGTTAGAGACTCCCAGAATCCTTCACTCCTATACCCTATGGTGAATCCCTTTTTCAGTGAATGCCTGTGTATATCTATAACATGCACATTCCATGGTTAATACATATGGTGTTTGTGTGTTCTATTTATTATATACAGGGAGTAAAATAAGTATTTGATCCCCAAGCAGAACATGACTTAGTATATGGTGGGGAACCCTTGTTGGGGAGCACAGAGGTGAGACGTTTCCTGGGGGAACCCTTGTTGGGGAGCACAGAGGTGAGACGTTTCCTGGGGGAACCGTTGTTGGGGAGCACAGAGGTGAGACAATTCCTGGGGGAACCCTTGTTGGGGAGCTCAGAGGTGAGACGTTTCCTGGGGGAACCCTTGTTGGGGAGCACAGAGGTGAGACGTTTCTTGGGGGAACCCTTGTTGGGGAGCAAAGAGGTGAGATGTTTCTTGGGGGAACCCTTGTTGGGGAGCAAAGAGGTGAGACGTTTCTTGGGGGAACCCTTGTTGGGGAGCACAGAGTTGAGACGTTTCTTGGGGTTGGTTTCCAGGTTTGCACACATCTCAGGAGGGATTTTGGTCCCTTTACAGATCTTCTCTAAATCCTTCAGGTTTCTTGGCTGTCGCTCAGGAACTCGAAGTCTCAGCTCCCTCCATAAATGCTCTATAGGATGAAGGTCTGGAGACTGGCTGGGCCCCTCCATGACCTCAATGTGCTTCTTCTTGAGCCACTGCTTTGTTGCCTTGGCGGTATGTTTTGGGTCATTGTCATGCTGAAAGACTCGGTGTTCTGGCTGAGGGAAGGAGGTTCTCATCCAAGCTTTTACAATACATGGCCCCATCCATTGGCCCCTCAGTGGCAAAGTCGGCCGGTACCTTTTAGCAGAGAAACAGCCCCAAAGCATAATGTTTCCCCCTCCGGGCTGGAGTTCTTAGGGTCATAGTCAGCATTTCTCTTACTCCAAACATGGCGAGTCGAGTTAATGCCAAACAACTAAATTTTGGTGTCATCTGACCGCAGCACTTTCTCCCAATCCTTCTCTGAATCATTTAGATGTTCATTGGCAGACTTCAGACGGGCCTGTACATGGGCCTTCTTGAGGAGTGGGACGGGCCTGTACATGGACCTTCTTGAGGAGGGGGACGGGCATGTACATGGGCCTTCTTGAGGGGGAAGGGGCTGTACATGGGCCTTCTTGAGGAGGGGGACGGGCCTGTACATGGGCCTTCTTGAGTAGGGGGACGGGCCTGTACATGGGCCGCCTTGAGTAGGGGGACCTTCCGGGCACTGCAGGATCTCAATCCATGGCGGTGTATTGTGTTACCAATGGTGTGTTTGGTGACTGTGCTCCCAACTGCCTTGAGATCATTCACAAGCTCCTCCCATCTAGTTCTGGACTGATCCCTCACTTTTCTCATGATCATCCTTACCCCATGAGGCGAAATCTTGCATGGAGCTCCAGACCGAGGGCCATTGATGGTTATTTTGTATTCCTTCAATTTGCAGTTGTTTCTTTCTCACCGAGCTTCTTGCTGATAGTCTTGTAGCCCATTCCAGCCTTGTGCAGGTCTACGGTCCTCTGACAGCTCTTTGGTCTTGCCCATGGTGGTGAGGTTTGAATGGAAGAAGGAGATTCTGTGGACAGGTATCTTTTATATACATAACGAGTTGTCATTAGGAGCACCTTCTTAAAGTGACAGGACTCATCTGTGTACCACATGGCCAATCTGTGGGAGGAGCCAGAATTATTGTTGGTTGGAAGTGGATCAAATACTTATTTTACTCACTGAACTGCAACTCAATTTATAACATTTGTATCGTGTGATTTCTCTGGAGTTTTGGTGGATATTCTGTCTCTATCATTTAAAATACACCGATGATAAAAATTATACACCTTTAATTTCTTTGTAATCTGCAGGGGAGCAAATCCTTATTTTCCTCAATGTTTTGCTCTTGCACAATTTCCGTACAAACAGGATATCATTTCTGTTGTTGTGTTCAGTTTAGTATTTTGATGGTTGTACAGTAAAAAAATAGTGTCATAAAAAGTCATAACAAAGAAAAAAACTAAAAGATAAACCTCAGAGAGCAGAGCGCCCTCTAGTGGCCGGGACTGGTCATTGCAGCCTCCCTTGTTTGTGCGTCTCTCAGCAATATATTGTTATTGATCTCCTCAGTTACAAAACCGACCTATTGTCCGTCTATGGATTCGCTCAGCTCCCCTCCCCGTCCCGGCTGAAAAAAAAAGCCGCGATGAGAGATTAGATTACGGGGGACTGTATTTGTTAGAGTGTTGGTGTCACTGGGAACCAACAATATTGATACAGGAGATAGGCTGAGGACGGACTTTGCCTCCTATGATAATCGGGGGGAAAAAAAAGATTACTTTTAACTATTAGCACACTGACGGCTCTTAATATTAATGACGGCGAGGTCAGAGCGCCGGGAACAAAGGAACAGGTCTCCAATGTACACTGCGTCCTTGTCCCTTTAAGGCGGGATCCGATGTCTTCCTTCCAAGCACCACATAAAGGTATGGTTGTGCTGGTCAACGCTGCTTCCAATTTAAAGTGGACCTGTCAGTAAACAGGATCCTTGTTCAGGAAAGCTCCGCCTCTTATCATTAAAGAGCCATCATTGGTCTCCAGTCAGTGGCTTTGCCTAGTCTGAGATGATGTCATCAGTCTGCTGCAGGCAGGAGGAAGCAATTTCTCAGTCTCCCCTCCCGCCAGTGATCAGACGGCAACATTGTAACTTTGTATCCAGTCACAAGGTGAGAGGCTGCAGCAGGGGCTGATCCCTGTCAGACATTTGTGAACACAGCCAAAAACTGCACAGGCTTTGGGATTTACATGATTGTGTCATCCTCTGAGCCGTCATCTCAGTCCTGGAAGTAGATGGTGACCCCGGATGATGCCTGAACAAAGATGGCGCCCGTCCTTCTGAAGAGGAGCAGATGAAGGCATTGTCAGGGGGAGTCATGTGATCTCTGTGAGGGACAATAAATACCTGGAAGGGGGTCACATTGACGCAGCATGTATGGACTTTAACTTGAATATATCTGATGACAGGTCCACTTAGTAACCTCCACGTCTTGTTAGGAGTAAACAAGCCTTTCCAGGATTGGGTGGGGGCCCTTTGTGCGCATGCTTATGTTTCCCGGCGTATACCCATGTACAGCCGCACGCAGCCAGATTGGGAGATCTGATAGTTGTAGTTGCCTGGGCACACCGGATTGAGTCTTCCTGGGAATGATGACTGTGTGTATATCGGGGGCCAATGTTGGAGCCACTGACCGCCATTGTCATAAAACGCTGAGTGAACAGCGCGCCCTTAATGCCCATGCGTCGGAGCATTACAAGCGCCCGGTGATCCTGGAGCGCCATCGCCGTGCTCGCTCCCTGGGAAGGTAACTGCTGCGGTTGCTACTGTGCCCTGTCCCTGTTTGTTGGTTTGGTCTTATCAGTCCCTGTGTGTGTGTTTTCCTTGGTGGGGTCTGATACAGAGAAGATAGATGGATGTTATGACATGGAAAGTGTCGGGCCCCGGAGCCTTATCAGCTGAACAGAAGTGTCCTGACCTCTCTGCTCCCATGGAGCCCGCTCTACTAACAAACAGTTCCCATGATTGTCGGATCAAACATGGCCGCAGGTGGCAGCTGATCACACTGGATTAGCCAGCTACAGACGGAGGACTACAAGTCCCAGCCTCTGACAGTTGGCTCCTGTCCTAACCAGGGCCTCCAGTCTGGGGGTACAGGCTGTACTCCTTGTACCAGGCCCTATCGGGTCAGCACAGGGGCCGGGCCTGGCAGTATAGTTCTGTGGCACTTCCGGGATGTAAGGGACAGGGAAGCTGAACTCCGCCATTAGAAATCACAGGGGGGTTCCATACAACCTTCCCCATAAGTCGGCTGTATGGGGCCCCATGATGTCTAATGGTGTAGTTGAGCTTTAAAACTGCAATTCATAATGTCACATTCTCTCCCCATCTCCCAATTGCCCTCCTGCGTTGTCACCCTGTCACATGGGGTCCCAGGGGAGACTACAAGTGGCCGTTTCAGCACACATGACCCAGACGTGGTCCACTGTTGTCACCAGCAGGAAACCCGCCCTGAGAAATGCCGTGCAGCCATCACTAGAGTGCATGTAGACAGGAAGTGGCTGATCAATATGTATTATTGATTGGTTAAATATGATACAGAAAAGAAAAGATTGAATTATGATCTCAGCGGACCGGCGATCATGTGATCAGTATTTATACAATGTGTCAGATAACCTCTCTGTCTGTATAGTTCCGGTATCTAGATCAATTAATTGTCTCTATTGGTAATCAATAACCCATAAATCATTGATCACAGTAATTGACTGTTCATGGAAAATGTTGACGAGCTTCCATCTTGTTTTCTCTTCCTGCAGACGAACTGGTTGTGGAGCACCCCTCGCCCGGTGGAGTAAGCCAGGTCCGTGCCCAGACTGAACTGCCCAAGGGGTTAACTTGGGGCCCCTACAGAGGAACCTTTACAGGCTCCGCCTCTTCTCCGGACCGGTCGGAGGTGGTAAGTGGATATACTCTGTTTTGGTGATGGGGGGTGAATAGGCATCACTGTTTGAACCCCGTAAAGGTGCTGTACATGGGCAATATATAATATATGACAACATTTAAATTTCTATGAGCACAGCTGTCTATTTTGCTCAACAGTGTCTAAAAAATCTGAGCATACGTAGCTCTCCATACCTGTGACTCGCTGTCCCCAAATAATGTTTTATCCTAAATATGGGGGGCGGGGCTAAAACTCAGGACCAAAAGCCTTATCGCTGACCATTGACTGACACAGTAGGAGAGGAGGAGGGGCAATGCTTTATTCTCTGGTGACATGCTGGTAACGATACAATGTAACGTGTACAGGGAAGATGTGGGAGGAGTTTACTATACACATGTGAGTGACACAGGGAGCAGCCAATAGTGTGAGAGGAGAAAGGAACTGCCCATTCCTCAGTTTATTCTGATTGGCACGCTGGCCCCTTTAGTTTCTCATTGGATAGTCTGCCTGGCCTGTGTGGGGTTCGGAAAACAATGCTTTAGTCCATCAAGACACTGTATATTTATACACAGCTATAGGATGAATGGAGGGGTTTGGAGGAGAGCGAAACGGAAGGGTTTGGGTCTATAAGAGGGACAGTTGTGGAGGAGAGAGGGACGGAGGGGTTTGGGTCTATAAGAGGGACAGTTGTGGAGGAGAGAGGGACGGAGGGGTTTGGGTTTATAAGAAGGACAGTTGTGAAGGACAGTTGTGGAGGAGAGAGGAACGAAGGGGTTTGGGTCTATAAGAAGGACAGTTTTGGGGGAGAGAGGGACGGAGGGGTTTGGGTCTATAAGAGGGACAGTTGTGCAGGAGAGAGGGACGGAGGGGTTTGGGTTTATAAGAAGAAGGACAGTTGTGAAGGACAGTTGTGGAGGAGAGAGGAACGGAGGGGTTTGGGTCTATAAGAAGGACAGTTGTGGGGGAGAGAGGGATGGAGGGGTTTGGGTCTATAAGAGGGACGGTTGTGGGGGAGAGAGGGTCAGAGGGGTTTGGGTCTATAAGGAGGACAGTTGTGGAGGAGAGAGGGACAGAGGGGTTTGGGTCTATAAGAAGGACAGTTGTGGAGGAGAGAGGGACAGAGGGGTTTGGGTCTATATGAAGGACAATTGTGGAGGAGAGAGGGTCAGAGGGGTTTGGGTCTATAAGGAGGACAGTTGTGGAGGAGAGAGGGACAGAGGGGTTTGGGTCTATAAGAAGGACAGTTGTGGAGGAGAGAGGGACGGAGGGGTTTGGATCTATAAGAGGGACAGTTGTAGAGGAGAGAGGGACCGAGGGTTTTGGGTCTATAAGAAGGACAGTTGTGGGGGAGAGAGGGACGGAGGGGTTTGGGTCTATAAGAAGGACAGTTGTGGGGGAGATGGGGCCGGAGGGGTTTGGGTCTTATACAAGGATGATCCAAATATGGCTAAATCTGAGTTTCTGTATTTTTCGGCAGGAGAAAGGCGAGGGGTGGGGGGTGGAGCGGGGTCGTTATCTGCTGCGCTTTAAGGTTAACGCTGGAAATATTAGACGAAAGCAAGCTGGGTTTGTGATAGCGATAGTGGGCCGTTATCTCTGCGGAATGAAATCCTTCATTAACCCCTTATCTCCCCCGTTTGGGGTGTTATGATCTCGTGGCGCCACTCGTCCAGACACAAGACAGGCCAATGATTGATTCTGCTCAGATAGTGGCCTGCCTTCCTCCGATACTTCATTTATTGTCTAAATATTTTTGCTGGTGTTTTCAGCCTTCGCCCTGAACGTTATCGGGTGTCTTGATGGTTTGCAGCCCTGCTCATCTCTGCCTGGCTCCCCATCCTGATATCAGGGCAGCTCCAGGAGGGGCAGGAAGCAAATGGTCATCCTTAGCACTTCAGACATCCTCTCCACTTCCTCCTCCCTCCACACTCTTGGCTCTGAATCCCTTTCTTCACTAATTGTCACATCCTCTGCGCTCCAGGCCTGATCCTCCGAGTCATTCTGCTGGGTGCCTTTCCCCTACCCCACTCCAAACTGCTGATCATGTGTGTGGGAGGATATTGGTGTGTCCACATCTACCATTTTCAGTCATGCCATTGCGCAATCTCCATCATTAATCACATTGTTGTCTGTAACTGATAACTACAGATGAGGTCATGTTTGTAGTGCAGATCTGTACAGAGATCCATTCTCATCAGTCTCCGTACAGAGGAACATACACTCTAATGTCCCCCCCCCCGCCCGCGCCCCACCACATACACCTCTTCAGTAACACTCTAATGTCCCCCCCCACAGTCACATCAGTCTCTGTACAGAGGAGCTTACACTCTAATGTCCCCCCCACAGTAACACACTATTATTGTGGTTGCTATGGAGCGCATGGAACCCATAGTTGTCTGTACATGGCACTGATGGCAGCCAACAAGCTAGAAACAGCTGTATGCAGTGTGGAGGAAATGGCTGTATCTGTGCTATGAACCAGCCTCTGGTCCTCGGACAAAGGATGATTTGCATAGCTCCACCCACTTTCTTAGAGGGCGGAACAAAGCCCTCATTTTTGGGGTATGTGGTGGTAGAGTCTCTCCTGTGCTTTGCACCTTTTTTGTACGAGGAGGTTTTGAGCCTCAGTGTCCTCTGCTAATAGACAGAGTGGGTATTGGGGTTGGGTAGAGGTGGGCTCCCCGGCTCCCTCCTGTCCTCGGCCCATACACAGAGCAGGTATTGGGGTTGGGTAGAGGTGGGCTCCCCGGCTTCCTCCTGTCCTCGGCCCATACACAGAGCAGGTATTGGGGTTGGGGAGAGGTGGGCTCCCCGGCTCCCTCCTGTCCTCGGCCCATACACAGAGCAGGTATTGGGGTTGGGGAGAGGTGGGCTCCCCGGCTCCCTCCTGTCCTCGGCCCATACACAGAGCAGGTATTGGGGTTGGGGAGAGGTGGGCTCCCCGGCTCCCTCCTGTCCTCGGCCCATACACAGAGCAGGTATTGGGGTTGGGGAGAGGTGGGCTCCCCGGCTCCCTCCTGTCCTCGGCCCATACACAGAGCAGGTATTGGGGTTGGGGAGAGGTGGGCTCCCCGGCTCCCTCCTGTCCTCGGCCCATACACAGAGCAGGTATTGGGGTTGGGGAGAGGTGGGCTCCCCGGCTCCCTCCTGTCCTCGGCCCATACACAGAGCAGGTATTGGGGTTGGGGAGAGGTGGGCTCCCCGGCTCCCTCCTGTCCTCGGCCCATACACAGAGCAGGTATTGGGGTTGGGGAGAGGTGGGCTCCCCGGCTCCCTCCTGTCCTCGGCCCATACACAGAGCAGGTATTGGGGTTGGGGAGAGGTGGGCTCCCCGGCTCCCTCCTGTCCTCGGCCCATACACAGAGCAGGTATTGGGGTTGGGGAGAGGTGGGCTCCCCGGCTCCCTCCTGTCCTCGGCCCATACACAGAGCAGGTATTGGGGTTGGGGAGAGGTGGGCTCCCCGGCTCCCTCCTGTCCTCGGCCCATACACAGAGCAGGTATTGGGGTTGGGGAGAGGTGGGCTCCCCGGCTCCCTCCTGTCCTCGGCCCATACACAGAGCAGGTATTGGGGTTGGGGAGAGGTGGGCTCCCCGGCTCCCTCCTGTCCTCGGCCCATACACAGAGCAGGTATTGGTGTTGGGTAGAGGTGGGCTCCTCGGCTCCCTCCTGTCCTCGGCCCATACACAGAGCAGGTGTTGGGGTTGGGTAGAGGTGGGCTCCCCGGCTCCCTCCTGTCCTCGGCCCATACACAGAGCAGGTATTGGGGTTGGGTAGAGGTAGGCTCCTCGGCTCCCTCCTGTCCTCGGCCCATACACAGAGCAGGTATTGGGGTTGGGTAGAGGTAGGCTCCTCGGCTCCCTCCTGTCCTCGGCCCATACACAGAGCAGGTATTGGGGTTGGGTAGAGGTAGGCTCCTCGGCTCCCTCCTGTCCTCGGCCCATACACAGAGCAGGTATTGGGGTTGGGTAGAGGTAGGCTCCTCGGCTCCCTCCTGTCCTCGGCCCATACACAGAGCAGGTATTGGGGTTGGGTAGAGGTAGGCTCCTCGGCTCCCTCCTGTCCTCGGCCCATACACAGAGCAGGTATTGGGGTTGGGTAGAGGTAGGCTCCTCGGCTCCCTCCTGTCCTCGGCCCATACACAGAGCAGGTATTGGGGTTGGGTAGAGGTAGGCTCCTCGGCTCCCTCCTGTCCTCGGCCCATACACAGAGCAGGTATTGGGGTTGGGTAGAGGTAGGCTCCTCGGCTCCCTCCTGTCCTCGGCCCATACACAGAGCAGGTATTGGGGTTGGGTAGAGGTAGGCTCCTCGGCTCCCTCCTGTCCTCGGCCCATACACAGAGCAGGTATTGGGGTTGGGTAGAGGTAGGCTCCTCGGCTCCCTCCTGTCCTCGGCCCATACACAGAGCAGGTATTGGGGTTGGGTAGAGGTAGGCTCCTCGGCTCCCTCCTGTCCTCGGCCCATACACAGAGCAGGTATTGGGGTTGGGTAGAGGTAGGCTCCTCGGCTCCCTCCTGTCCTCGGCCCATACACAGAGCAGGTATTGGGGTTGGGTAGAGGTAGGCTCCTCGGCTCCCTCCTGTCCTCGGCCCATACACAGAGCAGGTATTGGGGTTGGGTAGAGGTAGGCTCCTCGGCTCCCTCCTGTCCTCGGCCCATACACAGAGCAGGTATTGGGGTTGGGTAGAGGTAGGCTCCTCGGCTCCCTCCTGTCCTCGGCCCATACACAGAGCAGGTATTGGGGTTGGGTAGAGGTAGGCTCCTCGGCTCCCTCCTGTCCTCGGCCCATACACAGAGCAGGTATTGGGGTTGGGTAGAGGTAGGCTCCTCGGCTCCCTCCTGTCCTCGGCCCATACACAGAGCAGGTATTGGGGTTGGGTAGAGGTAGGCTCCTCGGCTCCCTCCTGTCCTCGGCCCATACACAGAGCAGGTATTGGGGTTGGGTAGAGGTAGGCTCCTCGGCTCCCTCCTGTCCTCGGCCCATACACAGAGCAGGTATTGGGGTTGGGTAGAGGTAGGCTCCTCGGCTCCCTCCTGTCCTCGGCCCATACACAGAGCAGGTATTGGGGTTGGGTAGAGGTGGGCTCCCCGGCTCCCTCCTGTCCTCTGTGGCTGCTCTGGAAGCTGTGCCAGGATTTAAAGCAGTCTTTCCCCGAATAAGCCATGCGGCGGATGCAGTCTAGATAGAGTTTCTGATGGTATCAGTAGAGTTCAGAGCAGACACTGACCTCTTTGTTCCTGGGGAAAACAACACATCTTGTCACAGACCTGGCAGAGGAGGGGGAGCCGAGCCTGTACACTGTACTCCCTGTATACAGTATAGACTCCTGCGCTGTACACTGTACTCCCTGTATACAGTATAGACTCCTGCGCTGTACACTGTACTCCCTGTATACAGTATAGACTCCTGCGCTGTACACTGTACTCCCTGTATACAGTATAGACTCCTGCGCTGTACACTGTACTCCCTGTATACAGTATAGACTCCTGTGCTGTATACTGTACTCCCTATATACCCCAGTGCTGTATTCTGTACATGGTATATACCCCTGTGCTGTGTACTATACTCCTGTGCTGTATACCTTACTCTCTGTACTTGGTATATACCCCTATGCTGTATACTGCCCTCTACGGCACTGTATATACCCCTGTGCTGTATACTGTACTCCCTATATACCCCTGTGCTGTATACTGGGCTCCCCACACACCGTATAGCTCAGTGCTCATCGTTGTGCGCAGCGTCTTTTTCATGACGGAATCTGATGATTTGAATGTTTGATCGAATATTGGTGGCTGGTCTCATCTTTCATCCATATTCAGTGAAATAAAGGGAGGGGCTGTGCCTGGCCACGCCCCTTCCACCACCTGGGAAAAATTCCCATGATGCAATGGCACTGACAAGTTTTTTGGGGTGTCCGGTCGGTGATTAGGTTGCTGACTCATCACTCTGAGTTTGGAGCCGCGCGGCGCCGGGGGAAGGAGCAGGAGCCAAGGCAGCCCGGCGTGTGACAATGAGCGCCGTTTTCTGCATCATCAGCAAAGCCCGGCGTTTTTATCACTCCGGGAACACGCGGCCCCCATCGCAGCGATAAGCCGGAGCTGAGCAGCGCCAACTCTCTCTCTCCCCCGTTCGAGGGTCTTCGAAATATTGGAAGGAATAATTAGATTTCATATCGTTACTGACGCAGCCATCTGAGGATCAGCCAGATTAATTTCTCCTTCTCTGCGCTCATTAATATTCATTAGAGACTCCGAGAGGCTGAGCCGTCCCCAAGCGAGGAAAAGTGCCGGGCCTAAAACGAGCTGCCGGAGCCTCGGCCTGCCGGTCTGATCGTTCCCGGCTTGGAAAACTCAATCCGGCGGATCACAGTGCGTTCACCTCCGCTGAGTAATCCGCGGTGGAAAATCCCACCTGCTGGCGTTTTGTTACATTGCATCACTTTATATTTGTGTTACATTGTAACATTAATCCTAAAAAACGCCACATTGTATTCGTGAACCGCTGCGTCGTCTTTTCCCTTCTCATCCATCGATGCAGCGCTGTGAACAGTCATTCATGATCTCTGCAGGCTCTTGAAGTATGAATGGGGCCCAATGGGAAGTTAAAGGCACACTTTTGATATAGAGCGCAATGTCTAAACAGACGTTCTATAGGTAACGGAAGAAGGATTCACCCCCCTCCCCTCCCCCAACAACATGAGCAATTCTTATACTTCCAAAAAAAGTATAATGTATATTGTCCTGGTTAAAGTAATGAGGGTAAGCAGCCAATCGGAAGAGAGCGTTGATGATCCCAGGGTGGCGGTCAGATGTTATATGGTTTACTGAATAAAGAGCACCTGTCCTCCTTAAAGCAGACTTTTTTTCTGGAACTTTTTGCTTTTCCTGGCACAGGAGGAGGGAGGCATGAGGCACCGATGCCTCAGTTTTCCTTCTCTGGGATGATTACACCGTCACTTTGTAGACAGGGTCTCTTTAGCTCTGAGAGGCGGACGCTGACCGCTGTGCAGAATTGCTGGCGTGGGCACATTTCGAGGGGCATTTCAGCCGCCGTCTGCAAATCGGAGTGTCGGCGCCCCCAAGCAAAGTACAAGCGTGTTAATATTCCTGCAAATAAGACTCGATGGAAGGATAACGCTGCTGATACCCCCCTCTGCTGAGACGAGGGCGCCACCTAGTGGCCAGAATGGGGAATCGCTGAACAGCCAGTTACTCATTTTTATACAGGGTTTATATGGCGCCAACAGTTTGTGCGGCACAGTACAAAATAATTATGATGATAAATCTGTCACTGATGGCGGAGAGTTTTTTCATCGCTATGCTTCAGTGACGTTGGCAGTGAGTTGATGTCATCAGTAATGGGAGAGAATTCCTGTTATTAAATCTGACCTCCTTCGGTCTGGCTTCCGGCCTCCCCTTTGGTCTTGTGTCTGGCCTCCAGCCTCTTCTTAGGCAGGGCATATTCAAGGCATTGGTGGGCCCTGAGCAAAACATTTAATAGTGGGCCCCCCCAGCCTGATGTCTCAGGCGGGAGGGTCTCTGGAGGGCTTTTTTTATCTGGGAAAATATGGGTTGCAGCTCAATAGCCGTATTACAGCAAACAAATCAACAATTACATTTTTAGTGAGCTCATTACATAGTTCTGCCACTGACTCCAAGCTGTAGGGGGACTACAAATCTCAGCAATACATTATACAGCAATGCAGATTAATAGTATATGAATTTGCTACATACTCCGTGCTGCTGCTCTGTTGCAGGGTGCCGGCCTGATGTCTCGGGCAGAGGGTCTCAGGAGGGGTGTGGAATGTCTATGGAGAGGTGCAGTGGGTCTCAGGAGGGGTGTGGAATGTCCATGGAGGGGTGCAGTGGGTCTCGGGAGGGGTGTGGAATGTCCTTGGAGGTGTGCAGTGGGTCTCGGGAGGGGTGTGGAATGTCCATGGAGGGGTGCAGTGGGTCTCGGGAGGGGTGTGGAATGTCCATGGAGGGGTGCAGTGGGTCTCGAGAGGGGTGTGGAATGTCCATGGAGGGGTGCAGTGGGTCTCGGGAGGGATGCAGAGGGTCTCAGGAGGGATGCAGAGGGTCTCAGGAAGGGTGTGGAATGTCCATGGAGGGGTGCAGTGGGTCTCGGGAGAGGTGTGGAATGTCTATGGAGGGGTGCAGTGGGTCTCGGGAGGGGTGTGGAATGTCTATGGAGGGGTGCAGTGGGTCTCAGGAGGGGTGTGGAATGTCCTTGGAGGGTTGCAGTGGGTCTCAGGAGGGATGCAGAGGGTCTCAGGAAGGGTGTGGAATGTCCATGGAGGGGTGCAGTGGGTCTCGGGAGGGGTGTGGAATGTCCATGGGGGCGTGCAGTGGGCCTCGGGAGGGGTTTTGAAAGAATCAATGGGTCAAAAAAATGGAGTGAAAACAGGTTTTATTTAAAAATGTTATTATCATGTTAATGAAGGGGAGAGGTGGAACCAGGGAAGGCGAGATATGAGCAGATTCTGCTTCAGATGTAACACAATTTCGGTACAATGGCCCTTTAACACTGAGCTGCCTGTTCTGCAGAGTGTCATTGCTCCTGATTGTCATGCTCTGTCTGTGTCTGCAGGGCGGCGCTCTCTCACTGGAGGTGGATGAAGACTGCTGGCTGAAAAATGTGACTCTCGTCCCCTGTGAGTTTGAAGCCAACTCCGTCCTGTACCGGAAAGGTGAGTGCCCAGACCCAGTGTATTATATTGTTGTCATGCTGTGTCGGGACCGGGCTGACTGCAGGCAGAACTAAAGGTGGAGACTCCAAGTGAATATAAGATGAGCACCCCCTTTAAATGGGCACTCCACATCTTCTGAAACCTTTCAATATCTTCTGTGTCCCTCTCTCTAGGCGACCAGATCTGGTGTAAGACTTCGCAGGTCATAGAGCAGGGCGAAGTCGTCCGGGCCTTCCTCATGGCCGAACCCCAAGCCATCCCCAACTTCAGCGTCAAGGAGGAACCCGGAGAGTCTTCTCAGGAGATCACCACGCAGCCCGAGTTCCAGCTCCTCCCACAGCAAGCTGGCATGGCTGCCATCTTGGCCACCGCGGTGGTTAACAGTGAGTGTTAAAGTGGACCTGTCATTAAAAGTCACACTGTGCAGTGGAAATGTGACCTTCTCTTTCCACATGAAGACTTTTACAGTATTTAGCAATAAAAGTATCAAGGACGGACGATATGGTATCACACACGGGGGCGGGGTCACTTCCTCAATGTGTTTCAAAATATATATATAAATTGCATCCCATATATATGAACAAATTCCACATGCATAGGAGTGCTGTGACCTCACAAGGGGCACAATTCATATAAATGGGATATAATCAATGTATATATATCATTATTATTTTAATTTTGTTGCAGTATTATGGATCTTCCCCCCATATCTCCTGAGGAAGCAGATCTCTGTGAAACGTGTAGAGGAACTGACCCCGTTCCCGTGTGTGATACCACTGATGGTCCCATCTGGGAGCCTGGAAATCTGAATAATCTGGGACAACACATGAGGGGTGTATGGGGCAATACAGAACATATGTGTGGGGGGTTTATGGGGCAATAACATGGCACATGTATGGGGTTGGGGGGAGGGTTGCATGGAGCAATACATGGCACATGTATG